ATTCTAGCGCCATCCATGTTGCTGCGAATGGCATGAGTTTATCTTTTTTGTTTGCTGAGTAATATTCCATGGTGTATATGCACCACATCTTCTTGATCCAGTCATCTATTTTTGGGCATTTGGGTTGTTTCCAGGTTTTACCTATTGTAAATAGTGCTGCAATAAACATAGGAGGGGGTGGGGGAAGCAAATATTGTTTAAAAATAAAAATAAATAAAAGTGCAGGGAATTAGACACTAATATGTCGGATTAACTTTATAAAACAAACCAAAAAAACCTCTTGTTCCGACTATCACCTCACTACTGCCATATCCCTGCTTCCATTATAGCAAAACTCCTTACCAAAGAGGCTCTTGGAGCCGGGCCCCCCAGTTCCTCCTGGCCTGCCGCCTGTCTGGGTGCGGCTGCCTTGGGTGGCACCTGCACTAGCGGCCACTCCCTTCTCTTGAAATGCCGGGACTCCGCTGCCCTCATTGCCCACTGCCTCTGCCTCCTTTGAGCTCCCTCCTCGTCTCCCTGGACTCATGGCACTGGGATGCCCTCTATACTCCCCTGCCTCGGCGGCTCGGCCAGGCCGGGCACTCCCAGTAGAGCAAAGCGCTGGAGACTCCCTGGCCTGGAGGCCTCCCTCCAGCCTCCTGCACCTTTCCCTGAGTGTCTACACCTCAGCTGTCTCTTCTGACCCGGCCCCAAAGGGTGGGGAGTCCCCCGCCAATGGCAAATCCATACCACCTGTTGTTTTTCAGGCCAAAATCAGGAAGTCATCCCGGACCCCTTTCTCTCACCCACGTGGATCCCGCCTGTCAGCAACTCCAGTGCCTCTATCTTCACCCCAGAACCCCGCTCTTCTCACCAAGCCGCCCTACTGCCTGAGCTCCAGGTCGCCAAGTGAGTAGCCTCCTCCTGGCCTCCAGTTTCCAGCCCTGCTGGCTTTCAGGTTCTCCAGGAAGCAGCCAAACAGGTTTAAAACTTTCCTACCTCGCACTGACCCCCTTCCAATTCTCTTTGCACTTTCCTTGCATTTCCTTAGCTCCCTCCCCAACGTAGGCAGCAGTTACCCCCAGCCCCTGGCATGGTGCCAAGCATGGGGCAGGTGACAGGGCACCACTGCCAGGGCTCTGGGCAAAAATGTATCTGTCTGGTGGGGCTCAGGGGGTGTGGTCCAGGAGCTTCTAATTTTGGGGCCTTGTCCTGATCATTACCCCTTCCCCCCTTCCCCGTGGGCACCTTGTCACATGGAGCAGAACCCTTTCTTCTTAGTTTGGGACACCCTTCCTCACCCCATCCCTAGTTCTCCTGCTGCCTGGGGGGCCTGTAACACTTGACCCTAAAGACCATGCCAGTGCCCCCTCCCCAGGGGGTACAGAGTATCTTCCATCAGCAGTGGCCTTCCTGCTCCCAGAACCTTTAACAGCTCCCCCCACCTATACTCTACAAAGCCCTGCAGGACAGGACAGGACTGCAAGGAGGAAGTGGCACAGGAGGGGCCCAGAATCACTTGCCCAGCTGGTCTCCCAAGTCCACGAACCCAACCAACAAGGCTCCCCGCCACTGGAGAGCTCGAGGTTCTGGTCTCATCTGCCCAGAGCTTTTAACCCCCCAAACTTGTGAGCCTTGTGCTGCTCAGCCTCCCCTTCACATCCTAAGGGGGACCCACTGGTGGCTGTAGGCCCAGCCACATCTGTATGCCCCAGGAATTAGCACACTTACACCACACACACACACACACACACACACTCCCTACCCCCCCACCCCCCTTCTATTACGGTGCTCCAGCATTGTCACCAGGTCAATGTTCATCATGACTTTGTTGACATGATTTGAGCATGAATGTTCTTCACGACTGAGTGACATAGGTCTATGCTTCCTCTTCCCTCAGTATTTTTTGCTAGGCGTTGTATTTTTATTTGCTTAATTTTCTGTCTACCTCAGATTCAAGCCCAAACCCTCTGAGGGAAGTGAGAATCAGGGGGTACAGATTCCTCAGCCCCCCCCATGGGCCTGGCGCCCTGCACTGCGCAGTGGACGGGGCCTTGTCCGGGCCGGGCAGCCCCCACCGCACTTGCTCCAGGTTTCCAGGACTCTAATTATTTTTCCTCTCTTCCTGGTGCTCTCTTTTAGGACATTTTGGCAATGGCTACAAAAGAGGCAGGTCTCACAACCCCCTGCGGTCTGTTCTTGGGTATTTCCACTGCTCTGGTGCCCACCGGGGGTCCCCCACTCAGTGAGCCCCTTCTCCAGAGCAAGCAGGCTCGGGCCCCCAGCTGACAGCAGCCTGAAGGCCACTTCCCACTCCCAGGAGTGCCGCACTGCCCCCAGCCCACACTGCCCCCAGCCCACACTGCCCCCAGCCCGCACTGCCCCCAGCCCGCACTGCTCCTTCCTGCCAGAGGCTGAACAAAGCCTCCCTGATCAACTGGGAGGTGCTGAGGCAGGAGGCGGTGCTCAACCCCAGTGCTCCCCAGGCGCCTCTGAGCCCTGGCCCCCAGCGCCCATCTGCTCGTTCACCTCCACGGCGCACCTGTGATTTCCTCGGGGACTTTGCGCTTTGTCTTCTTGACAAGTGCGTGGTCAATATTTCCGCCTTAAAGGCTGAGGGCTGCGTGCCAGTGCTCTGCTGTGACCCACCGCGCCTTCGGAGAGGTTACGATGCATTAAGTGCGTCTGCGCCGAAGTTCACGAGCATCTGCCAGTCCGATCCTCCCTCCGGGGAGCCTTCTTCATCCTTGGGTCCATCTGCATCGTGGACACGCGGCCCCTGCCCCAGAACCCACGAACACCTACACCAGCTGGGCCCTCAGATGCACCTTCTCCCCGGAGCCAGGGCCCACAGCCCCCATGGCAGGGCCCCACACGGAATCTAGGGGAACAGCTGTTTAGCCCGGCCACTTCCCGCTGTGCGACAATGCTTAGGGGTTCTCTGCACACAGCAGCGCCCCATCTCTCAAGCTTTTGGCAGGGAGACATTTCCTATTTTTCTGACTTTATCTTCTATGTGGCTGGCACTTGGGAGAACTGGTGAAACAGAGAAATCCAAACTTTCATAGGATTGGTTTAATTTTTTTTCAGCAGGAGAAAAAGAATAAAATTACAAGATTCTTTTAATATTTTCACAATGTTAAAACTAAAACTGAGCGCTAGGCTATGTGTGTAAGTAAATCTAGAACACAAAGGGGTTAAATAAGATTTTCTCTTTTAAAGATACAAGAATTTAAGCTTTCCTTACATTTAACAAACTTCACAGAACAGATACTGCAGGGGAACAAGCCCTTCCTCCCCCCACCCCCCAGCTCTACCATCAGGAAGTGAACATGGGCTGTGACTCCTGTGTGCCCGCCGCGGGGGTGGGGGCCCCCCCCAGAGCCTGCTTTCCCATCGCTGCCTCGAGGCAGTAGCTGGAGGGGCCTGAGGGGGGCCGGAAGGGCGAGAGGGTGGCTCCTTCAGGATCAGAGCTTGGCAGGGGGGCCTCGGTGGGGCGCCTCACTGAGGATGGCCACGTACTGGCCAGAGGGTCGTGGCTTGACAACAGTGGTAAACACAGGCAGACCTGGCCCCTCTGCCCTGGGCTGCCCTAGAGAGAGACACTGGTCTGGGTCCTGAAGCAAGAATTAAGGCTGGAGATTTTGCAGCGGATTCCACTCTGGTGGGGGCGGGGTGGGAGGAGGAAGTTAGGAAGAGCATGATTTTGTATTTCGGATCAAAAAACATTTGCAGTTGCAGGCGTTCAGCTGATAATTTGCGGAGAGTTGAATTGTTTGTTGTGGTATAAAAGGGAAAGTTGCTGGGTGAAACTATTCCAGAAGCCTGGGTGTGTGTGTGGGGAGAGCCAAACTGCCTGTATAGGACTCCCCTCCCCTCCCCGACCTGCAGATGGGGGCTCTGGGGCCACTGAGGTCCGCTCAGGCTTTCAAGAGACTCTTAATCCTGTCTGCCCCCCCAGTCCCACCTGGTTGGTAATGATTCCTAACAGCCCCTTCTCCACCGGCCTGGCCGGAGCCACTGCAGCTATGGAACATCTCTCTGCCCACATGAAGAGGCACAGGCTGAGAAATATGCCTTTCCCCCCCACCCCCCCACCCCCCGCCAGAGCAAGTGTCTCTCTAGAAGCTGGTCACAGACCGTGGTTCCAGTGAGAGCGAGCCTGCTGTCCCTGGGAATACGCCGCCTCCCCGTACTAAGCTCGCTGGGTGGGAGATGTGCACAGGCTGTGCCTGGACTACGGGGCTGCACAGAAAGGAGGGGCAGAGGCCACGGCATCATCCTTGGCCCCTCCAGGGGCTCAGCAGGAAAGGGCGGACTCTGGGCAGCAGCTTCCCTCGTTGATCCCCAGCGCGTCTACTGATTCCTGTTGGCTATGAAACGTCTTTTAAAAATTCCCAATATAGAAATCTAGCTGCAGAGGCCAGTGTGTAGACCCCAGTGCAGCTGCAATTAGCCTTATTTGATCAACTGCCAGACCCCTGCACTAGGCAAATGGCAAGCAGAGCCGGCGGGCCGGGGTGCTCTCCCAGTTGCTTCTCCTGACCATGGATCCTGTGTAGAAAAGGTGGGTCTCATTCGTGGACTAGTCTTGAATGGAGCTAATTTTCAAAGTGAGGTTACTGTTTCTCTTCATGGGATGAGAGAGTTTTTTTCCAAAGCAAGTCAGGTAAAAAATTTTCCTAAGAACCGGTCCCCCCACCCCAATTTCCAGCTCTGTGGGAGAGCGAGGCCACCACCCAGCCCAGCCACGTGCCTATCTCAGCAGCCTCCTGTGGCCAAGGCACGCATGGCCATCAGGCATCCTGGCTACTGGGACTAAGGATAAGTGAAGAGGTGAAAGGCCGAACATCAGAGTTTCTGGCAAAGCCATGTGCGTCGTGGGGACTGTAACATCAGCTTCTACTCCTCTATTAACTCAGAGTCTCCATCTGGAACACTTTCCGCTTAAGGCTTTTTATAAGTTTGACTCCAGCAGTGACAGGTATGTGTTGTTTTAAATCCACTAGCCATGCTCAAAAAAAATATTCTTCATGTTTTAATTTATACAATGGCTAGCAGGCACCTTAGTAACCAGCCAGAAATCAATTTCAACCACCATCAACCCCTAAACTACAGTACCAGGATGGCTGGCTAAAGAAAGGAAACGGACTGGCTGTAGTCTGACGCGTGCCCAGTACAAGGTGTCTGGCTGACTTTGTCCTAAATAAGGCTAACATTAGTGAACTAAGAACAGCGTCACGTGGCGGCCGTGCCCGGCCTTCAGGAGCACCCCTCCCCGATGCGCTGGCAGGAGCGCCCCACTTTCCGGTCCAGTTTCACCATTTTCATGATGGCTTCCTCTCGGCCACGGCCCATGTGGTCAAACGTGCAGTCGTGCTGCTCGGGGAGGCGATGTAACATACAGAAGACGTAGCCTGCAGCCGCGGGAAGAAGCACAGAAACACACGGTCAGGGCGTCCTCCAAACACCCAAAGCCCAGCTCCAGCCTGGCCCAGGGGACAGGAGGGCGCCTCAGTGAGCGGACAACAGTTACAGCAGGGCACCCCCTCCGCCTTCAGCTAGAAAGCCAGCATGTCCATGCCGCACGGCTGCCCCTCAGGCCGGCCACATGCCTTCGGGTCGTCTGAGGGACATGATCCCTGCCCAGAGGCTGCCTCTGCATTTGATGCTGCTCCAGCACTGTCCTGAAGAGGAACTCCGAAGGCACCTGCTGCTGCAGTGAGACATACCCCTTCCCTAGGAAATGAGTGGGTTCTGAACCCCTTCCCTCCCAGCCGCCCCACAGGCAGGCGCGCACGGAGCTGCCAGCTCAGCACTTTCCCTGACCGGGGCAAAGGACAACCCCCACCATTCCTAGGAGGGAGAGAAGGAGCAGAAATGATTATGGCTTAAATGACAGCCCACCTCCTCTACAGCCAGGGCTGGGGGGATAGGGAGGAGTGATCAAACCGTAACCCGCAAGGGAGTGGAAGCTCTCAAAGGAAAATGGATTATTTCAAGTGCTGGAAGAGGTATCACAAAGAGAAAAGAATGGAGACGTGAGCTCTAATCACAATCTCAAAGGAGGCTGCTGCTTCTATCTCCACCTGCTAGTCGAGGCTGAAGCCCCCACACGCAGGGCTTCCCACTTGCCCCAGCCCTCCCAGAAGCGGGAGGCTGCAGGACAAGTCCTCCCTTTATGGAAGAGACATCACAGTGAGAAAGTGGTAAGGCTGGTGGAACAAAGGACCGCGGAGAGGCCTGCGGAGCAGGAGGATGTGCAGAAGGCCCTCGGGGTAGGAAACAGGGAGAGACGTCCCTCAGGGAGTCAGCAGAGAAGCTCAGAGGATGAAAGGGAACTACTTCTGGTCAACTTCTAGGAATACTCATAGATGTGTGCATGCGTGTGGCAGATGTCCCCTGAGGCCTGATGTCCCCTGAGTCTCCTGACCCCCCTTGGGAAGGGGAGAGAAGTTCTGGGCTGGGCAGACACCTGGCAGTGGCTGGCTGGACCACCACCTAATCCTGGTGTTTGTAACCGGCACACCCCACAGGCCTAGACAGGTCCACCAGGTTGAAGGTGGATCCAAATCTTTTTCTAGCCCTCTTCTCCCAATGCACCCGGGACAGGCCTCCCGGCAGCCGTCCACACCAGTGCTCTCCTCACTCATTGCCCAAGCAAATGGCATTTCTTCTCTGAGACTTCTTTTTTTTAGATCTAGATCATGACAGCCATACTAATGGGTAGCCACCCCTTTGCAAGCAGCTCCCCATCCTCAATTTCTTTTCAGAGATGAAGGATGGAAGTTATGGCTTTAGAACAGCAGAAGTTGTAGAAAAAGACTAACCAGGATAGACAACAGTTTCAATAGCCTTAACTTTTAAGATTAACTTCACCCAGAGAAAATTTCTCAGCGACACAGCCCTGCTCGGAGGCCTTGAACGCACGCTGCACACTGGCACGTGCACACCTCCTGGGGGCCTGAGCGACTGGACCGATCCTGGACCATCCATTGTGTGAGAAAACACGTTATTAACTGCTTCCCAGGGAGAGCAGGGCAATATGTTTGACTCTAAATTGGGATTGGGTTTAAGGAAAAGAACAGAGATGAAATTTTTGTCTCCCGAGAAGCCACGCTCCCACTTGGTCCAAAGCAAAGTTAAGATTAATGAGCTCATGTGTTATATTTACTGATAAGTTCATTACTCTGAGATATTGGATACCAGTGGTCTTTCTCCTAAAGGATTTCACAGCGTAAGTGTGGATGGCTTCAATATGCATCCTCCGTCTAAGCGCGACCCTCTTTTTGGAGCTAAGTCCACCCAGTGGGGAGAACCTGCTGCCACGTTGGGGCCCGAGGAGGGGGACATGAGGACCATGCAGAAGAGTCCTGTCCTGTTTCTGTATCTTCAGCATCGACAATGAGGGGTGGGAGGGCCCTGATGCCCCTTTCCTTCCCTTTCTCTAAGACACTGGAATGATGCAGGGGAAGGTCCCGGGGGCTCTTTTCCTTCTGATGAATGGTTCTGGCTGAATAAAAGTAGCAGGAAGTAACAGGAAATAGATCACCCCTGAAATTAACTCAGCCTGGCTCAGCCTAACACCTCATTAGTCAAAGGCAGACTGGGGTGGAATGAGCGGTGCCAGTTTTGCCCTCACTTTGCTCAGCTTGCCTTCCGCCACTGGGGGAAGCCAACTCGGTGGAGTTGAGTCTCAGGTGGAGAAGAAAACAGGGAGTGACAGCCAGAGCAATTCGTCAGTATTCTCTCTACCCACCCAAGGACTTTCCATCCAGCTGACAACACCTCCTTTCTCTCCCTACGTTCTGTGCACCTCTGTCAGACACACCTTGATGCTTGGCTTTGATTCTGAAGGTGAAAACCACTAAATGGCAGCTAAATCTTGGGAGCAGAGCTGGTAACAATTAGAATATATGGCATAATAACTCACTGGGGAAAAGTCTGAAGGGGAAATTTTGGAAGGCTGACTTCTCAAGTTGCTGTACTGAGGTTATTAAATGACATAAATTAAGCTCAATTCCCTTTCCTGTCAGGATCACTCACCAAGAGGAAGTTACACGCGGGAACCTGCCCCACACGCTGAGTAGGTATTACCCAGGACAGCAGCCAGCTGGTTAAATGCACTCCAGCGTGAGCAGTGGGGGGTGGACTGTCCTGAATAAGGGAGGGCAGGTGGGGAGTACAGTGGCTGGGGGTGACTCTTTTTTTTCTCTTGGTAGCCACAGGACCGTTTCCAGGAACCACTGCAAGTGTCATGAACTTTCAGTTACCCTAAGTGAATTCTGGAGACCACGCTGGGTACGAAGAGAGAGATGAGTCTAGGCTGCTGGAGAAGACGATGGTTCTTAATTTCAGTGATGAACACAGTTTTAAAGCCCCAGAGGATTTCCGGCCTCCCTCTTGGCTAGGCCAGCCTCAACTTCCTTCACCCCGTTCATCAGAAATCTATCGGGCCTTCCCCAAATGGTCAAATAAGGCAGTGTCCAGAGGGGCCTGCTCTGCGGACGGCCACGCAGGCTTGGTCCTACCACCCAGGCTCCCATGTAATTACTGTTTCCCAATTAAAAAAGGTAATATATCAAAATTGAATTCACTCACCCACATACATACACAATCCACTTTTACACTCTCCTTATAGGTTAGCTTCACGTATTTTAAAAAACAACTTCAATATAATTTTGCTTATACTGTCTATACACCACACAGTACTGGGGGTGGGGGGAGGGTAAGGAGAGAGAAGGGCAGGAAAATATCTTAAAAGAACACTGACTGCCCCCCACCAAGGCATGTTTTTTTTTTTTTTTGGTGGTGGTTGTTGCTACGTTTTAAAAGGACAGGCGTATTAGAAAAAGGAGAAAGGGAAGGAGAAGCGCCTGCATAGTCAGAGGCAGGCAGGAGACCCAAAGCAAATTTTTCTGAAAATAAATTTGCCTGCTAAATGTAAATCTAAGCTCAGGGCCTCCCCGGTGGCGCGAGCTGAGCACAGCGCCGTGAAGCTGTCCACACATCTGCAAGGTGGGTTTGATTCCCGGCCAGCCAGGGAGATTCCCACATGGCCCGGCAGACCTCTCCTGTCGCGCCCGCTGCTCCCCTCCGCAGTGCTTTCGGTGTGTCTGTCTGTTCTGCTCCCCACTGTCTCTGGTGAATCCTCTCACCCTCCCGCGCCTCTGGCCTATACCCCAGCTATTGTATAAATAAAAAATAAATCTTTAAAAAAAAATGTAATCTAACCTCAACCCTCTTCCTTGCTGCCTGGCCCTAGACTGGTTGTCCTGTTCCTGGGAGCCCTGGATTGTTGGTATTCTGGAGTAGTTTTCAGTAAATCTACACAAAATACACAAGAACTTGTGTGGGAGTTTCTCTGCTCTTCAGCACTGTAGGGCAATCTGGTATGAGCCATTGATGTAAAAAGGAGGGAGAAGAAGCAGCTCTGTAAGCATTGTGTTATGGCCACCCTTGTCCCTCTTCTCCTGCCATTACCTGGCTTCCCACAGACCATGCTGGGCATGGGAAGGGGGAGCTGCTGTAGAAGGTGGTACCAGCTGGCCCCTTGCCAACTGAGCTGGACGATCTCTAGATGGTCTCTGGCAGCTACAGCATCAGTTTGAAAAGACCTCCTTCAACTGAGTAGTCCGCACTGGGAAGGGAAGACGAGGATGCCTGACCAGAAACCACGGGGGCTGAACCATCCTGGGGGCTTATCCAAGCTTGTGGCTATGGACGGCAAGAGACTGGAGGGTAGGAGAGGGTACAGAAGGTTCCCTGACCCTGTCATCATCAGAGACACAGGATTGTAGCACAAGGCAAAATAAATAAATAAATAAACAAAATTCAAGGCCTATCTAGCCTTCTGTCCTGCAAGAATCTCATGTGAATGAGAAATGCAGAGGCAGCATTCAGGTCACTCACCTAGACTTGAAAGGTGGGGAGCACTCTTGTGGGAGGACAGACACTGCAATGAAAGCCACTCATGGGTAGAAAGGAACACATCAGGAGGGTGTGGCCCTCCTGATGCTTGTGGCCTCAGTAAGTGATATGTCCCAACCACCTGAAGATGCCCACACCAGATGGGCTCTGAAAACCCATTCCCAGCAGAAAATGGCACTGAGGTTCATTTTCCCAAAACTCGTAAAGATCTGACATCAAGTTTCTAAAAATGTTTGTTCAGGGGGAACCAAACTTTGACCTGACTCTTCAACTTAGAAAGTTAACAATTGTAAGGCATACAGTTCCATTCAGATGCTCTCACTCGCAGGTAAACCTCACCTCTGTTCACACAGTGAGGGGCCTGTGGTATTTTGAGACTAAACACACATGGAAAAATCTGCACAAACACCATCATGAGGGAAAGGTGACATAGCACCCAACACCTTGCTCTAAGTGCTGTGAAAGTCCTAACAGTATTTCCTGTTGT